GGTTTGGGTAAAGTCTAAAGAGTTTGCTCTTGAAGAGAACATCTCTCAGAAGCTTCTACCCACCTACAGAGGACCTTGGCAAGTTCTAGACGTAATTGGAGATGTGGATGGTCCTTCGTATGTCATTGARATTCCTCCTCATCTACGTACATATCCAGTGTTCCATGCGTCCAAGCTTTTACCTTGTGTAACAAATGAGCTCTTCCCAAGTCGCCGATCAATGATACCTCCGAGTATGGATGGGAAGTATGACGTGGATAAAATTGTTGCAGAAAGTACTTACCACACAGGACGTAGAGGCAGACCATAGCGACAGTATAAGGTGAGGTTTGCATACCAGGATCCTAGTGAAGATCGCAGGTTTACAAGAGAAGAGCTGTTAGATTCTGCACCTCCTATTGTGTCTGCATACGAAAGCGTAAAGAAAGGAATTCATATCCTTGATAGGTAAATTATTCTCAGAGGACTTCGAATTTAAGCCGGCGAGAGTAAAAGGGCCTTTACCCGAAACAGGCCTCAGGCCTTGTCAAAGTAACGCAGCACAGACCTTGTAAAAGTAAAGCATTGTGAAAAGGTATCTCGCCAGGGCTCAGAAACGTGAAAGCAGGTCAAAGGTCAAGTTCTCTATCAACAGGCATATCTAAAGCTAAGGCAAAGGGCATTGTCAAAAGACTTACCTGTTCACCAGGAGATGTGTACGTCATGTCTGTTCGGGTAAGAGTGTGTCTGTACGTGCAGGCAGTGTACCTGTTTGTGCAAAGTAAAGTGTCTGTTCAAGTAGTAAATGTGTCTGTTCGTTGAGAGTTGTGCCTGTCCGAAAGTAAAGTCCATAGGCACAGTCCCAGTTCTGGTCTAAGTCCAGGGGTCAGTCCAGATCCAGACTTTCAAGTCCAAATTCAGGCCGGGAGGCCTCAGCAGCAGTTGAACTTCATTGGGACTCTACTGGGACACATGCAATGCAGGGTCTGGGACAAAAGGAAGGCTGGATTGAGCCAATGCAGACCCAGCGAGGAGTATAAAGGAGGCAGCCAGCCTCATTCCTCGCCAGATCTCCACTGGCTGTTTCAGCGTGGAAGTGCTGGAGCACTTGTGCGATAAGTCAGTAGGAGCAGCGCTGGAGGAAGCAGATGCGCTGAGTGAGGGAAGAGGATTGCATGCTGGAAGTGATGCAGCCATAGCTGCCCAGCAAGTTAGCATTAGTAGTAGTGGGTTAGTATGTAGCTATGAGTAGTATTCAGAGTAGATCCTCATGAATGAAGGGTGTGTATGCATCGTAGGAGGAAGAGATTGAGGCTGAGAGTGTTCATTCAAGGTTGGGCTATGGAAGATACCTACCTGAGTTGAATGTGGGCTGTAGAGGTGGCGCTGATGGGTAGTGACCACATTGATGACTTGGAGGTTATCTGCAGGAGTAGCGCTGATTCACTGGAAGTCATATTGATGAGCTGACAAGAGATTGGGGTTGCGCTGATGAGCGCTGGACTCAGGGGAACTTTGAAACACTTTGTATTCATATTTCTGATAATATAAGCTGTGAAACTCGGTCCTCTTCTTCTCTACCTTTGTCTATGGTTGATACTATCGATCGCTGTGTGTGAAGATGATGCATGACATGTACACATCTGCGTGAGATGGTCCCCAGGACCCATGCACATGCCTATCGGCTGCCACCTTGGCTTCTGTCCATGTTCACGGTTGCCTGTCCATCCATTCATCTGTTAAAGCCATCCCTCTGTTGCCCTATCCATTCTTTTTGTTCATGACCTTACTTCATTCATACTGCAAGGGCCATTGTCATGGTTGGGATGTTGAGATGTGTCAGCGAATTACTTCAGGGCTGCACAGGGTGACCAGTAGGGTCCATAGCCATGTCTGCCTCCTGGGGCTCAGTAGCGTTTGTGTGTGGTGTGCATGTAGGTGTGTGGGTGTGTGTTTTACCTCTGTGGAGTAGGGTGTCCGAGTCAGAGTCTACGTCCAAGTTTTGGTTTATCGCCAGGTGAAGTGAACATCCTGAACCGGTAGGTGGGCCTAGGGTGCACCTGCGAAAGGCTTCGAGGGGTTACTGGGGTCACTGGCGAAGGCCAAGATTGGGAAAGGTCTGTTTTCTGAGCCTGACCTAAGCCATTGGTATTCGACTGACACTGGGGGCAAAGTGGCCGGTCGTGAGGCCAGTTCACCTGGTATGAATAAGGGAGGGGAGTGGCTTGCTGGGCAATCGCCCTTGGGTTCTGCTTGTGAGGAGAGAGTGCGCTGCAGGAGCAGTGCATTAAGTTGCACAGCGCAGCAGTCGTGTGAGCAGGAAGACTGCCGTAGCCGGGAGGTCAGGTGGACATGTTCGCTGGACGTCGTGGGCACTTTGTGGGGGAAACTCTCGACTCTGAGGAGGGGAAGTGTGGCGTGCTGAGGCCTCCCACACCGGGCGTGGGAGGCACGGACATCACTCCGGGCCTTAGGCTTCATGAGGGAGTCTCAGGCATGAGTGTGGACATTAATTCTGTTCATCGTCGTCGTCGTCGTCGTCCTCTTCTTCTTCTGGGAAGAAGGGGAAAGAAGATGGAAAACAGCCATGTCGTCGTCATCGTCGTCGTCGTCGTCGTCCTCTTCTTCTTCTTCTTCTTCTTCTTCTTCTCTTCTTCTTCTTCTTCTTCTTCTTCTTCTTCTTCTTCTTCTTCTTCTTCTTCTTCTTCTTCTTCTTCTTCTTCTTCTTCTGCTTCTGCTTCTTCTGCTTCTTCTTCTTCTTCTTCATCGTCGTCGTCGTCGTCGTCGTCGTCTTCCTCTTCGTCTTCCTCTTCGTCTTCC